GTTACTAAGTCATTTCGTTCAGAAAACGGTATAGAGTCACGAACATACAATAGTACTCCCCCACCAGATCTAGATCGGTCATGGCGAATGTGAAAGTAACCAGCGATTGCTATTTCACTGTCAGGCACCAATTCGGTCTGATAGATATGATCGCAACCAACGGAGTGCCATGCCTTTTATGCCATAAATTTTTAATTTTTTTGGTAGAATGTCGTGGTCAACAGTATCAAAGGCCTTTTTTAAATCTAAAAACACAACTCCATTTAATTGTCCTAATTGTCCTACGTCCATTCTCTTCGTTTTCTTTGTTTGTTTTTCTCCAGCTCCTTTTTCCAACTTTTTAATATATTTCTTGTCCTGGCGTTCTGCTGCCATATCTTCGTTTTTTCTTGCCATATTTTATTTTGTATGAGCAACTCTCACATTTTTTCCTCTTTCTCTACCATGATTTCTTTCAGATATGTATCACCCTTTTAGCCTTACCCAACTCATGTTTAATTAAGCTGTGTTAATAAAGTAAAACAAGGTTATAAAAATTCGAAAACTGAGTGGAGGTTTATGTGTTGTGCCGTGCATGGCCATGTATGACTGCATGCTCTCGTGTCTCGAATAGGTTGTTCGTTCTGCGCGGGTCGTTTTGATTGGAAATGCAGTGCCATGAATGTATTTATGTTTATCTTACTTTAGAAAGGCAAACGGATGAAAAAGCCACACGTCTTCCATAGATAGGGAACACAAAACGGAAGTCGTGAAGCAATTGAAAACTGCGTGTACATTTACGATTCCTTTTTGAATCGACATTATATAAATTTATAACATCGTAACGAACAGTGTTTTACTTAGATTGGATTAGATCGTATCGTAGTAGATTGTGATCGAGAACGTAATAGATTGCAATGTCCGTACACGTGCAGTTATATTCGTTTTTAAAGGCAGACAACAAAATCTGAGACAGGCCATAAAAACCACTTGTGCATATTGTTTTTAAATTGCGCTTAAAACTATCCGGCAAACACTTATTATATAATATTATTTCATGTATTTTTATTATTACTTTCATCGTATAGCTACCGAGTCAATATCTCACCATCTTTGACGATCAGTTTCTCTCCTCCGCAGAGCCTCCTTAAGTATTTGCAAATAACTTACATGAAGTTTCCTGAATAAAAGTGAGCGAGGGCGGTGTGATGGGAAGTCAGGAAGATTGAAATGAAGTTGGGGAGGCTCTGCCAGTAATGCGATGGTTTTTGAACCAAACTAGTTGTTTGACCTTTTTTAAACTTGAAATCGACGGAAATGTGAAAGAAATTGAAATGAATCTTCACAATCTGAGTATCGAAGTTCAGTAGAGTCATTTTTATAAAGAAATGTTGCAATTAAGAGGATATTTATAATTAGATAGCTCGTCTCCATTGATATTCGTCTGCAATTTCTCAATATTTTTCGATGCAAATTGACAGAAGAAGATATTGATATTGAATTCACCCAAGGATACTCAAGTACGCCTGAAAATGAAAGTCGAAAACATGTTTTAACACCCCCGATGGTTGATCGAACTTCGCTACAAACGATTATATACGACACCACATTGATTGCATTAACTCGCAGAGGCTTCCTTTATTTAGCTCTTTTCCGATCACTCCTTGCGCGCTCACTTTTCCCTCAATAGAAACTTAATGTAAGCCTCTGCGAAGGAGAGAGCGATCAGTTGTTGACGCAACTGATCATGGGTATTTATTCCATGTCCCTTAATTGACCTTGGCCTTGGGCAGTTTTCTTTTTGTCTTTTTTCTTTATCTATAAAAAACATTAAGTCAATATTGGTAAGAATCTATGATTTATCCACACATCATGAAAAGAAACTGACATAAGCCGCTCTAACGATCGATAAATGCCCCAATCTGATGTGTGCAATTTCTTGTAGCTAACGGTTTCACTGTTCAGTTTGTTCAGTATAATACAGGGAGTATAATACAGGGTGTTTAAAAAAAACGCTATGGAAATTAAACAGGCTGTCGTGCATCATAAACGTGGCTGAACAATTCAATTTTTACAAAGGACGAATGACCAGTTATTTAGCTTTTCAATAATACTCTTTTTAAATCGTAACGATGAAAAATGGCCACGTACTTGTCAAATAAAAATTCTTCCACCGTTAGGATTGCATGGCAAACGAAACATAAACAATTCCCAAGAGGGAATTAAAGTTGAATGTTAAATGATCTACAATGAGCTCAACTCGTCAATCTTCGGCTTAGTGAGACAATAAGAACGTCCATTATTGCATTAAACATGGTTCAATTAAACTCTGAACAGAGAACATTCGTAATCAAAACGTTTTACGAAACAAATACCTTGCAAGGCCTTGCAACAGGCTCGCGTTGCTTTTGGATTGATTAACTTTGCATAATTAATGTTTTTCAATTCCCAACGGTGGAAGAATGTGATTTCGACCGACAATTTTTATTTGACGAGTATGTGGCCATTTCTAAACGTTACGGTTTAAGAAAGGTACGTATCATAGAAAAGCTAAATTACAGCTCTTTCGTCCTATGTAAAAATTGAATTGTTTAGCTAAGTTTGTGATGCACAACAGCCAGTTTGATTTCTATAGCGTTTTTTTTAGACACCCAGTATAATGTACATATATATATCAAGCAATTGCAATTTGTTACAATTTTACATGATGTAATTTAATTGCAATTGAATTGTAGTGTGCCGCAACAACAAAAATTGTTCAACATGCATCTTACAGAAAACTTAGAGCATGTGTAAAGCAATATTTTGCATGTACGATATTCATCATTACGTTACAATTATATTGGATAATTTTTTGGTATTGCTCAGCCAGAGTATAATCGTGCCAGTGGATCAACCCAGTGACTGCATGGGTGAATGCGATGGTCGTCGTGGAAAAGAAAAATACCGACAAATTGCGAATTTGTATAGACCTGCGGCCCGTTAATAAAACAATCAAGCGAGAACATTACCATCTACCTACGATAGAAAAGATTACAACAAGGCTGAGTGGAGCGAAGTATTTCTCTACTCTAGACGCCAGATCGGGATTTTGGCAAATTCCTTTAGATGAAGAGAGTTCATATCTTACTACCCTATATTTGGAAGATATCGTTATACACGCATGCCCTTCGGCATTCACAGCGCCCAAGAAGTATTCCATAAGAGGATAGATGAGCCTTTCAAAGGTCTTGACGGTGTTGAAACTGACATCGACGACATCCTGGGGCACGACGATAGAAGAGCACGACGAAAAGTTGGAGAAAGTTTTGGAGGGAGCAACAGAGCAATCTCAGGCTAAATCCCGACAAGTGCCAGATCAGACACACCAAAGTTTTACACATTGGGCATGTACTCACCGGAGATAAAGTCAAGCCAGATGCATCTAAGTTAGAAGCGATCACGGAGATGCCAGTTCCGGAAGACAAGCATGGAATTCAGCGTTTGCTCGGAATGGTGGACTATATGGCGAAGTTCGCACCACATGTCTCAGAAGTAACGGCACCTCTACGCGAACTCCTCAAGAAAGATGTTGCGTGACACTGGACTGAGCGCCATGAACAATTATTTCAAGGTATCAAGCGTCTTTTGACGGAGACGAGTCCCAGAATATTGAAGTATTACGATCCTTAGCTGCCAGTAAAGCTACAAGTAGATGCGTGTAAGTCCGGCTTGGGTGCAGTATTGATGCAAAACGGTTCACCAATAGCCTGTGCTTCTCGGTCGCTAACAGAGATTGAGTTGAAGTACACTCAAATCGAGAAATAATTATTGGCAGTTATGTGCGGTTTCGAGCGGTTCCATCAGTACATCTATGCAAAGAAAGTGTTGGTCGAGACGGATCACAGGCCACTCATTTGAATCATCTCCAAACCACTCAACAAGGCGCCAGT